GGCATCGTCCTTATCAGTAACCTGGCCTCAAAAGTCACCATGGCCCCAAGAGGGAGTGCAGGCCACTCAGATTGGCATGGCTCCAGGTAGCACAATCCTCAGACACCAACGTGGTCCCAGGTGGCAGTCCAGCATCCTGGTATTGGTATGACCTTTAATGGTATCAGGAGCCATAAATATCAACCTAAAACCTGGCTATGGTAGGGCGACAAACACAGACATGACCCTACCTGTAGCCCGGGCTCAGACATCACCATGGTGTCCATGTTGGCAGCACAGGCCATCCAGATTAGCATAGCCCTGGTGGCAGCGTGGCCCTTGGACACCAACACAGACTCTGGTATCTGACCAGATCCCAGCCATCCACATGGCCTTCAGTGGTTACTGAAGTCATGGACATCAACACAGATCCTGACTGCTGGAGGGACACAGATCCGGACATGGCGCCTGGTAGCAGCCTGGGCCCAGATGTCATCACCCTGGTTCAGATGGCAAGCAGGCCGCCAAAATCAGCCTATTCCTCACCAGTTCTTCAGAACTGTCTCTTACCACAGCATGCGAACCATTCCATCATCTTTCTCCCCCATTTCTCCCCCATATACTTGTTCATCATATGTAGGTACACAGGTTCCCCATTTTTCCGAGGCGCTATGCAGGGCTGTTCTGCTTCCTGGTTCCACTGCATCAGCTTGAGGGTGTAGCATAGAACTGCCCTCTCCTGTTATGTTAATTTCACCTACGGCCCAAGGGTGTAGCTTAGAGAGAACTCTCCCTGTACTGTTATGGTAATTCTACCTGCAAGCAAGGTTCTCGCTGCAGGCAAGGTTCCCTGGTCAGAGAAGGAAAGGTTCCTCTTTTCTCTGTTCAGCTGCTCTCCGACCTTGGGTGCGGCCCCCTGACTTTTCTCTTTCCTTGTTCCTGATGGGGGGCTGGTGTCTTTCTGCCCCACAGTATATATACCCAACTTATGCTTAATAAAGCTGCCATTTGCCACTTGCTCCTTGGCAGATGAGCCCGGTCTCTTTGTGTGTGTGTCATGTGTTCAAACCCTTAGGACAATCGTCCGTTCTCGTGGGCTCGAGTCAGGAAAAGCGCACGCCTGTTTTGAGGTTCGGGTGTCCACAGAAAAGTGCGGAAGCTTACAATCATAATGGCACCTACTTGGTGCCTTCACCCAGCCCAGTCCATGAGGAACCAGGCTGCCCCATGGATGTCCTTCACCCACCTGAGCCGCAGAATATCAGGCAGGCCCACTATATCACATTCTTAACATATTTGTGGTGTGCATTTTTGGAATAACATGTAATCTATGAAACTGATTTATAATTGATGTTCAATTTATAGTATGTACCTGGAATTTTATGTGTTTTGCAGATAGCATAAAATGATTAAAATTGAGGAACTACAAAAATATAGCTAAAGGACTAGAGAGATGACTTGGTTGTTAAGAGCACTTGTTGGTCTTACAAAGGACCTGGGCTCAATTTCCAGCACCCACATGGCAGCTCACAACTGTGTATAACTCCAGTTCAAGGAAATCTGATGTTCTCTTCTGACCTCCCTGGCACCAGGTATACATCTCCATTTCCCCAGCATAAGTACTATAAAGACATGTAACCATGTCCAGTTTTTCTGACTTTTTTTTTCCACGTGAGTTTTAGGGATTGAATTCAGGTCCTCATTCTTACACTGAGTTATTTCCCCAACTCTGTGTTCCTCCATTTGTTTAGAAACATTTACAGTTCTTCTGTGCAGATGTCCTGCTGGAAATAAAAGATAGTACCATGCATCATTTAGTTCTTTTTTTAGCTGTTTTATTGTAGATACTGATTATTATTTTGGGTAATGTAAAAAACAAAAGTATATACTGTTTCCAGTTTCTAGTTTCTATATTTACTTGTGAATGAAGCATTTTTCCTGGGACACTGTTTTGTTGTCTCCTTCTGAGAAACCATCCCAAAACAGTAGATCATTGCAAGAATTGTTTCATTATTTTATGATTCTGGTATGTAAGCAGTGCTTAAGGGATCAGCCAGTCTCTTATTCTTGGTCTCATAAAAGGCTGGGGCTGGCAAGTATCTAAGTATTTGAGAGGTTAATTAAGGAAGTTAAAAGTTCAAGCACAGCAGGAGCTATATAGAAAATCCTGGGCTCTGGAGCAGACCAGGTCTGAGGTACCTATTCTCAAAGTCAGATGGACTCTCAGTTCCTCCCATGTGATCTCTTCTGGCGCTTAATAAGTTTGGGTTTCCTTGTGCCATGGTCATTTCAGTTAGTACACCTTACCAGAGCACAAATCTGTTAGTTTCCAGACATTCTCTAAACTTAGGCCTGGCATAGTGCCTTTGTTGTATTCTACTGGTTAAAGTCTGAGCCTAGCTTCACTGTGGGTGGGAACTTCAGGGTGAACCAGGAGACACAGTTCACTGAAAGTCATCTTTAGAGGCTACCTCTCACAACATTTTCCTTCAATGTTTATGAAAGAAACTGTATAAACATTCAACCAACTGTATTTCCCAACAAATAACCAAATAAGAGAAATGTGCATTTTTTCTCTATATTGAAGTTTAGCTCCCCATCCAATTTGCCTATGATCTCTCCCAATAATGCCTCATTCCAATTCTTCCAGCATTGTAGTTTCTTCACTACAGGTTCTAGCATGAGTCTACTCTAAATTAAATGTTTCCAGATGTCTGAATCCCCAAGTCCAGAAAAACTTTTAAAAATGACCAACTTAGTCTATATGTTTGCATAGACTTACCAACTTGATAATCTTTAATTGCTGACTAAGAACATTAAAGAAAGATTCCAGGAGCTGGACTTATGGCTCAATGGCAAGACACATGCTTAGCACATGTGAGGTCCTGGCTTCAGTATTGAGCAACAACAACAACAACAAAATACAAACCAAATTCAAACAAACAAACATACAAACCCACAGACCATCAATTATTATTCTTCATCCTTAAAGAAAAGTTGTTTAATTTTTTAAAGCATAGTAAAGATTAAAAAATACTCTTTTTTATCTAGTTCTGTTTTGTTTATAAAAACTTATTACATCTTTTAAAAGACTTTTCTTTGTTGAACAATATTTATGAACTTGCACAGTATATGATACTTCATTGATTGGCCTGTTCTCCTTGCACCTGGTGACATTAGCCTTTTGTCACTTCAGTTTTAGCTGTATATGTATTGCAAATATGGTCATTACATCTGTATTTTTCTCATGTTGCTCCAAATCGTGGAAACACCAAGGGATGACACTGGTTCTTGAACCCAGTGTTTAGGAATGGTTAGCCAATTCAATGTTATTAAACACTGTCAAGACCTTCTTTACTCTGAACCTACAAAATCATTTTACGTATTTCTTATGTGTAGTGATATTTTGTGTTTTAACAAATTAAGCTTGCCTGAAGATCAGAATGCAGAACTAAGCCACTAGAGGCCAGGTTGTGGTGGCACACACCTTTAATCCCAGTACTTGGGAGTGCCACGCCTTTAATCCCAGCACTACAGAGGTGGAGACAAGAAGGGATATGGCTGGGCAGAGAGAGGAAAAAAGGGTGAGAGGAGAGAGGAGCTCAGTGCAGTCTGGAGATGCAATCTGAGGATGGAGTCAGAGAATGCTGTCTGAGGAGGCAATTTGAGGACAGCATCACCCCTTTGGGCTGAGCATCGGTAGAGATAAAAAGTCTCTCTAGTGGCTGGCTGCTCTGCTTCTCTGATCTCTCAATTTTTCCCCTTAATATCTGACTCCAGGCTTCTATTAAGAACAATTAGAATCTGTGCTACACCTATGGATCATAATCATATTGATCCTTCTCTTACAAGGAATCATTTAAATCGTTGCTGATGCAAACAATACAATGCATTGTTGGTTCTTATTTGGATTGAATAGTAGTCTTTCCAACATTACTATTGTTGGAAAATTGCTTCTGCTCCATTTTGGTTTTTTTATGACTAATGAGCAAGTAAGCAGTTATGATCTTGAGCACCTGTTTCCCCATCTATGGTACAGGTATATTCATAAAAGAGTTTGTTTGAAATTATTATATACATCTTTATTTCTATGTGTATGTGTGTATGTCCATGTCTATATGCCATGTGTGTGGCGGTATCTTCAGAAGCCAGAAATGTCAGATCTTCTGCAACTGGAGTTAGGTGGTTATGAGCTGCCTCAAATGGGTTCTAGGAACAAAACTCACAACTTCCAGAAGAGCAGCAAGGGCTTTTAACTTCAATCCTTTGTTGAAGTTTTAATGAGCTAATATATAAAGCTTATAAAGTAGCACCTAGTCCTTGGTAAGTTATTTGCATGCATCTTAAAATATTCATAAGTTTCAATAATAGAACATCATCCTCTATTACTTTTCATTCTTTGTAGCGATATTTCATTTGTATTTTAACAAACAAAGCTTGCCTGAAGATTAGAATGCAAAACAGTTACACGAATCAGCCATAAGACCAGACAGTGGTGGTCCATGCCTTTAATCCTAGCAGCCATACTAGTTAGCCATAGAGGTCAGGCGGTGGTGGTGCATGTCTCTAATTCCAGCACTAGGGAGGAACATAAGGTGGGACATGACAGAAACTTAGGATCTTTTCTTCAGCCTGATGATTTCATAGAGGTAAGAGTTCTTTACTGGCTTGGCTGTTTTGCTTCCCTGACCTTCAGGTTGAACTTCAATCGCTGTCTCTGAGTTTTTATTATCATGCTACATTGTTTTTGTTTGTTTGTTTGTTTCTTCAAGACAGGGTTTCTCTGTGTATCTTTGTAGTCTGTCCTGGCACTTGCTCTGTATACCAGACTGGCTTCGAACTCACACAGATTCACCTACCCCTGCCTCCCAAGTGCTGGGAATGAAGGCGTGCATCACCACCACACAGCTTACTTTTTAAGTAAGCAAGCCATGGTATGTTACAATCATCAGAATAGCTTTGTAGGTAAATACACATACACTTCAAATATACTTCCAGTAGGAGAATTGTCAATGACTTACCTTTATTGACTTCTTATTGCCTTAGCTATCTGCACTGTTTCGTGTGTTTTCAAATGGAAAACAACATAATGTTCAGTTCTCTGAGAGAAAAGAATCCTAAGAATACCTAAAAATGGTAATAAAGAACAAGCAGGGTTTAGGAAATTTATTTCAGGGAAACTGTGAGATTATTTTAAGCCCTATGCTTAAAAATAAATCTAATTCACATGACTGACTTGAAATACTGAGGCCAAGAAAAGTCACTGCAAAAGCATTTAATAAAATACCTGTCCCTGTTTTTCCTTGGCTACGATTTTCTGTGAAGGCTTACTTCTTATCTTGATTGACACAGTGGACTTTATAGCTAAACAGTTCTTGTACCTAATAAAATGAAAAAGAGAAATAAACATATTCAAACAATATAGTATTTTCCTAATCTCTGGCCCCCATGATGATGTACTGTTTAGACACCATGTATCTCTTTTTATATAGGCACATTTGGTTCATCTGTAGCATTTGCAGTGTGGGGTAAAACACACTCACATGTTCAACCTCCAGCAATCTTTCATTTAACTTAGGATCAAACTCAAGGATTGATTAGAAACAAATAGAGGTTGGACAGTGGAAAACTATCAGAGATCTTTTACCCCACGGTCAGTGAAGAAACTGAACCAGGAGGATATGCCCATTATTTTCCTATCCCACATTCACTGTGGCAAAACCACAATTCCAATTTTTACTGAATGACCCGAAGTTCAAACAGTAGCCTTATGAAAGCAAAACAGAAGTAAAAGTTGATGTGAGAAAGCGAATAGGAGTATCTTAAAAACATTGATTTTTCCTGTTTAATTAAACTGCGTTAACTTCTATCGAGTCTATCTTCCAGAGTCAACATTTTAAGTCTCAGGAACGCAGAGTGCCTGGTGATTTTTCCCTGTGAATCCTAAACAGACTCAGCGTGGTGGGGCTCAAGGAGAGCTGACCAGAGTGCTCTGGAAAATCCAAGCTCCGCTGGTGCTGAAATAACTGTTTTGTACCTACTGACGAAAAGCATCCTCTTACCCAGTCAAAAGTATCTATCTCAGTGATAACAGGCGCCTTTTTTTCTTGTCAGAATTTTCCCGACCTGAGGCTATGTAAGGCCCAGAGGAAGCAAAGCTGGGGCGCCTGCCAGCACCCCGACCAGAAGCAGGGAAAGGTCCACCTCCGTCCGGACCTCCATGGCAGCCCCGCCCA